CCTATGTTGAGAAAGATGGAACCACTTTCAGGGCATAGCCTAGAATTTGCTAACTTAAAATTACGCTACATTAAACCTCTTTATATGAAGCACTTACCCAACTAGGCAACTCTGAGCTCACATACACTTTGTACAGCAAATTAGAAGCAAGGAGGTGTTTTATTATTATTGTACTTATTGCCCTCATCTCTGATTGGGGTAGGTCATCTTTTAAGAACTTTTATGCAATTTTGTGTTTTGTATTTAAAAATATTTTAGGAAGGGAAAAAGAAAATTATAGTACTTTAGAGACAGTCAAACAAAGTACAAGTGATATAAATGTTTTTCTAAAACCAGCATAGTGCTACTGACATAAAAAAATCGGGTGGGTAGGAATGACCAGGACTCCTTGTGGTCTGATGCAGCAAAGTTCACTAGACACCATTTGAGATGACACAAAATCCACCTAAGAGCATAGAGTTAATCTGTCTCCAAAACAGGCATTATTTTTTAAAAGTCTCAGTATTTAAAAGCTGTGTAACTTGGTTCTTAGACAAGTCAAAGCACAGGGCAAATGACTTTTTAACAATGTCATTAAATGAGGGCTACCTTTTCAAACATGATTTAGTCTGACTGTCTTGGAGAGAACTGACTTTCTTAGATTTCTGTGTAATGTTTTCTTTTGTTCCCTCTGATTAATTAACTGTTTTTGTTGTATGATCAGTTAGGCAGCTGGAAGAAGGCCTAGCGCCTAATTACCCAGCCAGAGCTGCTGGGCGCTCTTGTTGCACAGGATCATCTGCAGCATGGTCTTGTGCTCGCCCGTCTTCTGCTGGCAGGCTTCCCACAAGACCTAGAACAGGGGAGAGCAGGGAAGGAGCATCAGAGCCACCCAGGCCACCAGGATAAAAGTTCTTTATGGTCAGCTGGAAGTGGATCCCAGTTACCATTGCATCCTGCGCAGCCATTGCAGGGTCACCGTATCCTTCCTGCCTGCTTCCCTGCAAAACAAGCACAGGTTTCCTTATACATGTTCTGGACACAAAAGTACTGCAACAAAAATCTCAGGACCACCACTCTTATCATTTTTAGCAAGTGCTGTCATTGTTTGGATTAAGAATTTCCATTTCTTGAATACATTATATGGAGTTTTTTGTTTGGGGATTCAAGTTAATCTTCTTTTTCTCTGTAGCAATATTGATATTTGAAGTGCATTCAGGTGTGTTATGACTTGTGTCTACATGTCTGCCTGAAACGTCACTCTGTCACAGGCAGGGCTTTCAGAGGTGGCTGGATCTGGAGTGTGTGATGCTGGGATTCATCGTGTACTGCTGCGATTAAGAGAGTGTGATTGCTCAGTCAGTCCACTGATTGGTTTAGTATAGAGATGGCCATGTGTAATGGGAAGGTCACCTGGGTGTGAGTGCTACTTGATGGAATATAGAGGGACAGAAAGAACATGCCGCTTGCAGCTTGCTGCTTTTGCTGCCTTCTGCCGGCCATGTACTGTTTCTCCACTCTGAGGCCCTTGGCTGTGCCATTCCGTCTTAGAGCCAGCTGACTGTGAACTGAAACCTCCACAACTGTGAGCCATGTGCAACTTTTCTTCTGCTAACTTTGGGTGCTAGGGCTTTTGTCTCAGCATATTTTCTCCTTTTCTGGTTCTCTATGTAGTATCTTATCTCTTATCAGACTAAATATCCACTCTCTGGCAGTGAATGTAAGGGCAGAATTCAACACTGCTAGAGAGAAAATGCAAAGAAAAAAGTATCTGACTCAGAAAGGATTTATGCAATGGAAAAATAATAACAAAATCCAGAGTTTGTGGATTTGAATATTTTGTAGATGCGTTTTAACTCTTGCCTGCTTACTACATACAGAACAGTCCACCTAGCCACTTCAGACAAAGGCAAGGAGAGCTGGCCAGTGCAGGACTCACTGAGCTTGAGCACTATTTGTGTAAGAGGCAAAAGATACAGCGGAAGAATGCAATCAGAATTTATCCAATTTCTTTTTTGGGTCAAAGTGTGGAAGGGAGAACATTTTTCAGAGGAAACTCTGAGGCTATGGCGGCTTCTGCTCGCATTCCAGTCTAGCATTCTGACTACACCGCAGCGAACTCAGGGGGCCTCCATAGTGCAGCCGAGGGATGTCACGAATAGAACACCCTTGAATCACTACACTCTGAGCCCGTAAGTGGGGCGAATGAGACCCTGATTTTTTTTTTTTTTACCTTCTTCTGGCCAAGAAACTTGCACTTTGGTTGAAAACATGGTGTGGGAGCTTGCTAGGTGGACCTGTTCATAATTGGGGTAGGGGAAGTCAAGGGGAGGACAGTGACATTGGCAGGGACTTTGTGGACACACACACAGTTAGACCCTCAGGAATTGTTCAGCTCTGGTGAATAGAGGTGAGACCCAGTCATCAAGAAGGGTTATTTCGCTCTGACTAAGCACAGAGATAACACTACATTACAGCAGCTAATGCTGAAACATGGGTACTCTGGGCTTCTTACGTATCACCTACTACTTTGCAAAAGCCAGGCCATCATACAAACTACACATACTTCCCTGTGACGAATGCCTTCTTGGATAGAAAGACAGGAGTGACCAGAACATTGACAACTGAGTGCTAAGCTTAATAAAAGTGTAACACTTAATAAAGGTATAAAAGTGAGCATGTGCCCACATTCACAGTTCTGAGTATTGTATGGACTAAATTTGACGCTTACATTAAAATGTTAGTGTTTTTCTTTCCTTTTTTCTTAACCAAAAGCTGGAGGCATCTTAGAAAGTTCAACTTATTCAAAGAAATATATGAGTCACATTTTCTTGGGAGTAAATTTGTAGCCTTAGAAAATTAATATGTTTAATCATAGCTCAGAATTGGCACATCACCTAAAGATGAACAACTGGTAGGAAATAGAAATGATCCTGTCAGACATGCTTCTTCTGCCTCTTTTACTTTTTAAATTCTTACTTTAAAATTGTGTTTTCAGGGCCAGCCAGACAGCTCAGCAGACTAAAGCTCGTGCTTTGGCAGAGCGCAGTAGCCCGGGCTCGAGAGTTGGTGCTGCGCCAGCTCTGCCCCTGGGGCATGCTGAGATGGGGTTGAGGCTGGGCGTGGTGGCGCACACCTGTAATCCCAGCTCTTGGGAGGCTGAAAACAGGAGAAACACTACAAGTCTGATCTACGTAGTGAGACCCTGTATACACTGCAGACCCTATACCAAATACATACAAAAACCCCATCAAAATAAAAAAAAATAAAGTTGTGTCTTAAACATGTATGTGTATTTTATGTATACGTAACAAGCATTAGAAGGCAATGTTCAAAAATGGAAGTGATTTTATTAGGAGGTAGGATTATGGTGGTTATTTTATCTTTCAATCATGAAAATGTTGAGATGACACAAGCCTAGAAGTCATATAGTCCCTCTGTTCTTTATTTGAGGATAAAAAAAAAAAGAAAAAAGAAATGAATCTTGGGATACGAGTTGAGCTGCTCAGGGTTGGATTGCTAGGGAAGAATAATTACGAGGCTGCAGTGGCATTGTCAGCGGCAAAATCTGGTTTTCAAAAACTCATTCTTTTCACATGGTCTCCCTTGGCCTCTTTTCAAATTTCCCTAAAGGTTTTAATTTACACTGAGCAACAAACAACAGAAACAATTAATATGCTCTTCCTTCTGTGAATACATGTCAGGCATTTCCTAAGTTTCCCATGGCAATTCCTAGGCTCCTCTTGTTCTGCTAGTAGGCTTGGATAAAACCTGCTCTCTTTATTTCTTGCCTTATTTTCCTCATTTTGCTTCCAGGGACAAGCATTCTCTTTTTGGTTTCCTTCTGTTTCTTTGAAAACTATTCAATCTTGTGAAATTGTTTCTCTTCCCATTCAATTTCTTCATTTTGGAAGCTCCTTTTTTGGAGGGACTGTGCAGGTTTTCAATTTGTCTATATTTACTCTCCCTTCTCCTGATAATATTCACTATTTATGTAGCTCTAAATTGTGTCTAAATTGTCATGATACTCACATTTATACTGTAGCTGAAATCTGTTACTTGAATTTGAAAGGAGTACATTCCAGTTGCCAGTCTCGTAGCATGGCTTGATTTTCTCACGCACTGTAGATGAATTCCTGCACGTTGAAAATTCAAGTCTTGGTCTTCTGCCACCTCAGGAGCACCCTCTAGAGTCTGCTTTTCACATTTTAATTGTTTTACCACTATGCTCTTGTGACTTTGTCTCAGAACATGAGAATCACCTTTGTTTCTTTATTTTATTTCATCTGTCTGATTCCTCAGGACATAGTCCATGTCAAAAACACATCCAGAAATCTGGGGACTCTCTGCCATTGCCATTGTTCTTATCAGGGCTGAAGTGCACATTGCCTTTTGTCTTTGTTGCTGACAGGGCGCCCTAGCAGGCTTCCGTCAATGGTCATTTCTTAATATAGTATCTACTGTGAATATTTTTAAGCCATAGCACTATCATCCTTTTGCTCAAAATTCAGTAAAATCATAATCCTCCCCTATTTCACTCAAACAAGAGTCAAAGTCTTTACAAACACAATAGTCTACACAAAATTCTACCACTTGTTACTTTTTTTTAACCTCATGTAAACATTTACCCTTCCACTACCATGGTGCGTGTCCTTTGCTTGTTCAGACAACACCAGTGGGCATCCTCGATATTAGTGATGCCCATTCTCTATTGTCCTGCTTTAGACCTTTTTCTCTAGCTCTACACTTTGTGTGGAATAGCTTAGTCCATCTCTTCATTTGTTGATTTGCTCTTTTCTTCAAAAGTTTGCTCAAATCTTATCTCCGTGAGACCCGCTCTGACCAAACCATGAGGTACTGCAACCATAATACTCTCCTCAGCCACCCAATTCCTATCTCCCTGCTCCTCTCTGCAATATTTTCATCACCTTCTAAAATTCTATTAGGATTATGATTAATTGTCCACATCACCTTGCTAGATACAAATTTCATAAAGCCTAAGGATCTTAGTTTCTTTTGTTTACTGATAATTCTCAATTGTCTAAAATCTACTTGACATTTTTTAAGCATTTTAGAATCTTTTTGGAAAAGAGAGTAAGTAACTTTTAGGTAGCAGACTTGAAAGATCAGTTAGCACATGCGGAAGACTTTCTGAATCACTGATACTTTCCCCTAATCAGTATATGGTGGCCTTCTTTATTTTGTTTGATCATTCTTGGTTTGAAGTTGAGACTGTCTGAAAACAGGATTGCTACACT